AGTCAAAACTGAGGTATATTATACATAATTTTGTACAGGTTTGTGTTTGGCTGCTGTTTTTTTTGGAGGGGGGGGGGGTATAAGATAACAAAAAAGTTCACAAGTGTGAGACACTTGCTTGTTGTTAGATTTAAACTGTGCATGCTTAGACGACCTATGTTTTTCTTCAGACTTTTTTGCTGTTCCTTTTCTCTTTTTCAAAACTTCCAGTCACTGTTAGCTGATTTTCTCTTTAATAGTTGATAAATGTGCTTATTCTTTCTGTTTGAATGTGCCATCTTCTTCAAAAATTGTTTGCAAAGTCAATGATGATTTTTCTGTTATGTCTACCAGGGGATTCAAAGCACTTAAACAGACTGTCAAGCTTTATTATCGTTTAGGGAGGTACAAGGAGATGACAGATGCATATAGAGAGATGTTAACTTACATTAAATCTGCAGTGACCCGAAATTATAGTGAAAAATGTATAAACAATATCATGGATTTTGTATCTGGGTCTGCCAGTCAGAACTTTGGTCTTTTACAAGAGTTCTATCAAACCACCTTGAAAGCACTTGAAGAAGCTAAAAATGAGGTAACCGTCTTGGTTTTTTTTATGGGTGAGCTTGGTTAATCTTTCAGGAGTTTTTATTAAAGTGAATTGTTTTACCAATTATTGAATACTGTTATGTAGAGGTTGTGGTTCAAGACAAATCTTAAGCTTTGCAAGATCTGGTTTGACATGGGCGAGTATGGGAGAATGAACAAGGTACGCWGCTGAATTGCCCCTGTGGCCTCTCCCCAAGTAAAAGCACTGTTCAGTACTTCAGTTCTGTCCGAGTTTAATCTGTCATTTACTATAACATATATATTATATTTCAGATTTTGAAGGAACTACATAAATCTTGTCAACGGGCAGATGGGACTGATGATCAAAAGAAAGGAACTCAGTTATTGGAAGTGTATGCAATTGAAATCCAAATGTACACTGAGACGAAGAATAACAAAAAACTCAAGGTGAGATGCCTTAATTGCTAGTCTATGTCATATACTCACCACATGTTTGATGCTTTAAATGCTAGTGAAGATGTTTCTGACTTCATTTTCATGTGATTTAACGTATAAAAGTCAGGTGTTATTTGATTTAAATCTCAATCTCTTTTTYACATGCCCACAATGCTGTTTGCAATTGCCTTTCCTCATTTGTAGTTTTCACTCATCTGAAGTGAAAAATCACATATAAATTCTCTCTTCATCCATTGCTAATCTTTTCTACTGCATTTTTAGCTCTAGAACATGTGGCCAGAAAATATATGTACTAAACTTCCTCCTCAGGGGTGCACACATATAATGAATAGAGAACTATGACAGAAATAATTTCTTCTTATATTCACTGAAAGAAGCATGTATTCTTGTGGACTGTTAATTAGGCAGTCATGTGATACTCCAAAGTCAAATCTGGACTCTTTTTCTGATGGAGGGARTACTTAATTTATAACATTTCTAGTCCAGTTTTTAAACTGAATTCCCGATTTGGGTAATGCGAGCAGCAGAGCACGATTAACTTTTTTTTTTTTGACAGTTCTATATGCATTTTTGTGTGTTTTAGGTATGGTACAGAAAGCAAGAATATGAAAGAACTCTTTGTTCATTTATCTCCAAATTTCCTTTTTTTTTTGTTTAAATGCTAGTTGTGGCATTTACTCCAGCCGAGCATCTTACAAGTACTGACTACTTGTCAAATGATTAAYTAAATATCAGTATATCACCGGAGTTGAACAACTCAAGGATGTGTGTTAGTGTATATAAACATTATCCACACATACATACAATATGAGACCGCCTATGAAAGTACACTTTCTTTTTCTTCAGTGAATCAGTGTCACACTTTTCATGAACGTCACATCCCCAAAAGATGGAGCTACTCATAAAGTTACATAGATGGCCGGGCAGAATTAAGACAGATCAAACTAAAGATATTACACATCAAGAAATTAAAGTGTTRCCAGCTAGGTTTAATTTTTATCATGAAAGTTCTGGACTTCATATCTTCTGCGTGGAATCAGCAGTTCTTTTTGCTTGCTGGAATAGGTTCTACAAACATGTGATGACATAAACACACAAAGTGAGTGAACACCCACTAAAATTAATTGGTAAGCAGATAAATTTTTCTATAATTGTTTTTAAATTACAACTAGAAGGCATTACCATTAACCAACACTGCTATACTCCAGACATTACTTATAGAAAGYAACCATTTATTTACTTAACTTTAATGCCTGTGATTGGATCGAATAGTCCAGGTCCAAAAGTGATCTGTAACGATATGGTCATCATGGTCTAATTTATCCTATTGAGTTGCTTGTTTGAAGTTCTTCCAACAATATATCCACTGCCATCGATTACCTGTTAAATACTTGAGCGATGTGACCATGATTTGTCTTTCTCATTTTCATATTGACCTTGATGTGATGTGTATCAAACTTAAATTTCATTTGTCAGCCACTACTCTTACCACCTCTGCACTGTTGCTTCTTACCTGACTRGCATTAGTGCAGACTACCAATGTCTTCAATAACCACCACACGGTCCTTGCCATTAAAACTTAGCCAAGAGAAAAAACTGCTCAAATGTTGAGCATAACTAGCATCAGTTTTTGAAGCCATGAGAAGATTTTGAGCTTTTTTATGGCATATGGGCTTTGGACTTGAAATGCTTCGAAACGTGTTGCTTGAAAGCTCACTACTTATTTATGCAGGGATTGCTTTTCCGTGGTGCTTTGCAGCATACTAGGTGGATGTTGCACAATTGCCACTATTGAAACTAGAAACCCATCATATCATCTAAACAAATGGAAAAAAAGACCCTTGACGTTGGAACTTAGCACCATAAAAATATATGTGTATAGTATTTGGGCCTAAATGAGTTTCTTATAATTAGTAGATGCGACACATAAACCCATGTCTGGTCATTGTGAACATAGTAGCTAAATAATCCSAACGCGTTACCTAAGGCAAATATTGTATAATTGTTCGATTTTCCGCAATTTTTTCCATACCTCTGTGTAAATAACCCAATATTGGTTCACAGTCAATAACATCTTCACCATCTAGAGTAACAATGAGTCGAAGAACACCATGCATTGATGGGTGGTGAGGTCCCATATTGACTATCATGAAGTCTTTTCTTGTAGATGGTWCAGTCATAGGTTTTTCCTGATTCATTCTTCCATGAATTGCTGAAAGCGAAAAGAAGTTCATCAAACTTTAAGCGAATAATTCAAACTAATTCTTCAAATTAACGAGTTTTTCTCTCTCGAATATCCAACTGACCTATTAATTCTTTATAACGCGCTCTAATTTTTTTTGGTACTTCAGTAGGGTGAGTTTGCTTTTCTGGGTCACTGTTTTCGAGTTAAGCTTACTTACTTTCACGGAATGAAGACCAAGGAAAGAATGTTTAATTAAGGACCATGTTCTTAAATAGAGTTGCTCACTTAGCTAAATTGCAAGATTGGGGTTTGTTTGATATTCCACTTACATCTCCASACGTGGCTGGATATTCAAGTAAAAGGGAGCACATTGCTTTTGTCTGTACTTTCAAAATCTCCCATACTCAAGTCAACTGGCTAAAGCGTTCCTATACTTGGTGCATGTCCAGTGTTGTAGCAAAAACCTTGATCCAATGTGTAGGATAGGTGGGAGGTAGTGAGACAGAATGACTATTCTTGGAAGACCTTTGACAAAAAGGGAATCTGCCAAGTAGATTGAGTTGTCCTATCAAAAGGGAAAGGTTGAAATGTCCTGTCGAGGGGGGGGGGGGAGCAGGGACTATGGGGTACTTACTATACTTATCTTGTAAAAAAAATACACAAGAAACCCGTAAGAGTGAATTTTCAAATTCTGAACTGAAGTAAAGTAATGAAGCATGCTGGAAACAAAAGTTAGGTTAGGAAGGGAGAAAGGATAATTACCAAGACTGTGGAAGAGCACACATTCAGCTTTGGAGTTTTCAGTTCACCATGATGATCACCTTCCCAAGTCGCTTTTATGCCATTTGAAGAAGATAGAGATTTTGATATATGGACTGATATCTGCCATCTCGTCATTCTTGCAATGTTGTAATGCCATCTTTTTAGAACTAAAATAAGTAAAAGGGGGAGAAAATGGTGAGAGTGGCAGTAATTATGTTCAAAAGGAACAAAGATTMTTTATAGCATAAGTTTTAATAATCAAAAGGTTACCAAGGTGCTGTACTAAATTAAAAGACAAAGAACAAAKAAAATCGTATTCAAGKGCTTTTTTGCCATCCAATAAGGTCAAAGTGAAAAGGGTCRAAAATATACTCGACATCCTTTTCATCTAGTAATTMAGACGAGAGCAAGGAGCAGCAGTCRCATTATTGGAAAAAGTTCAAATCAATGACTTGACAKAGAAATTCTTTCAGAGAAAACAACCATTATTGAAATGATTTGTCATCTGAAACCATGTCTTCATTCTTGGGAGTTCCATGCACTGTGGTGAATGTTTAGAACTCGGTATTCTCTAAACGTTTCATCTTTACGAAGGTGTAAATGTTTGTTCATCGTCTGATTTGTCAAATCAACAATTTGACAGCGAGCAATTCTTTCAAGAGCAAACAACCATGACTGAAATGATTACGTGCATTTAGAACCATGTATCYGTTCATGGGAGTGAATATTTTTTAGAACTCGATATTCTAAAAAAAATTCATCTCTATGATGGTGTAAATATTTGTTCATCATCTGATTCGTTCCATCGCTATTTATCTTCTTGTTCCTATGTGTCATTCACTGTGATTATCGTGTGTTAACTTGTTTCATATGTATTTTGACAGCAACTGTACCAAAAAGCACTTACCATAAAATCAGCGATTCCTCATCCTAGGATCATGGGCATAATACATGAGTGTGGCGGCAAAATGCATATGGCAGAGCGCCAATGGGCAGAAGCAGCTACTGACTTTTTTGAAGCTTTTAAAAACTACGATGAAGCTGGGAATCAACGAAGAATACAGTGTCTTAAGTATGCTTATTTTTGTATTTTTCCCATTACAATAGTACTTCATTTCTTTTTCTGTACCCATATGTTTTATGTTAAATTGCTTTGCTTGTTTTACAGATACTTGGTACTGGCCAACATGCTTATGCAATCCGAAGTCAATCCATTTGATGGGCAAGAAGCAAAGCCGTATGCGACAAACTTGATCGTTTTTGCTTTTCTTGAATCTTCAATATTACCCTTTGTGATTGCCAACTTAATGCTGCAGATACAAAAATGATCCTGAAATCTTGGCGATGACAAACTTGATTGCAGCATATCAACGGAATGAAATATTGGAATTTGAGAAAATCCTCAAGGTAAAAAGCTGACGGTTATGTACCCATAATTTAGATAAAATTAATTCTATGTGATCCATTCTTTCATCCTCTTTGGCTCTTCCCTCTTCTCCTGTCAACTCCCAATGATATGAATGCAAACTCTCAAAATAATATGTCGCAGAGTAACAGAAGAACCATCATGGATGATCCCTTCATTAGAAATTATATTGAAGATCTTCTGAAAAACATCAGAACTCAAGTCTTACTCAAGCTCATCAAGCCATACACAAGGATCAGGATCCCCTTCATATCAAAGGTAGCAACTCTTTTTGTATGGCCCCTGCAATATTTTGAGGGCATCTTATACATATGCATACATGCATACATACAAAGAGGGAGGTTGTGGGGGAAACCCCCCCAAAAAAAAATGAAAAACTGAGGAACACCTTCATTTCCATACTACTAATTTGTAAGTAATTTGTCTGGTATGCACATATGCGTACAAGGAATTTGTCCGGTATGCATATATGCGTACAAATAATTTGTCCGGTATGCACATGTGCATAACATGCACACGTGCATAAAAACCAAGAAACAACTTCAATTACTTGTATGCACATTTGCATACCGTCCAAATGAACGGTTATCAGGGTGTTCTTCAGTTTTCCATTTTTTTGCGGTTTTCCCCTGAACCAATACGAGGGAGGTTCAGGTGAAAACCCTCAAARAAACACCCTGGTAACCATTCATCTGGACGGTATGCTCAAATACATACACATATACATGTACTTATAAATTGATTAATGGATCGATCATGTCAAGATTCATTGATCACCAATAAATTATACTGAAACCATTGCCATTCAGGAGCTTAACGTTCCAGAGGCTGATGTCGAACAGCTGTTAGTCTCGCTGATATTGGACAACAGAGTTCAAGGCCATATCGATCAAGTTAACAGGCTGTTGGAGTGCGGCGACAGGTTATTAAATCTCGTCTATATAAAAAAACTATCTACAATCTTATTTGTATGTATGATTCCAATTGTGGGATTTGGATGGTGGCAGATCAAAGGGAATGAAGAAATACACTGCTGTGGAGAAATGGAACACACAAYTGAGGTCACTGTATCAAAGTGTTAGCAATCGAGTTGGTTGAAAATTGAAGTTGTTTATTTCCATTGGCATATTTTGTTCATCATGTCAAATTCAAATTAGTAATCTGAACAGAACACACCAGGGTTGATGTGTTTTTTAGAGGGAACACTTGTTGCAAACCTAAAATGCTGTCTTCTTTTGCAGAGTGAATACTATCTGAGGTATATTATTACTTACTATCTTCTAAAATAAGCATCTATATTTCTATTTTACAAATGTCTATTTTAAAATCATAACCTCAAGGGTRAAATTGTCATTTAAGCACTATGCGGTGCGGTTTATGGTTTTGGGTTCAAACTACCCTCATATTTTGTATATTTTTTAATTTTATATGACACACACACAAACAAACCATATTTTGTATATTTTTTAAATTTTATATTCTTTCAAAAGTTCAAGAAAATAGTCATAGGTCTTGTTTGTAATCGCGAGCCCATTTAAAAGACACAAAAAAAAATACATTTTCTACCCTTTTCTGCAAGAAAAATTATATTTTCACCCAAATACGTAAAAAAATTACATTTCTCACTCAGGTCTACAAAAAAATTTACGTTTTTAACTCAGGTCCGTAAAAAAAATACGGACCTAGGAATATTTTGATAAACYTTGTAAAAAAGTGGWTRACAARTGAAATCAGTCGATAAAAATRATTATTTTAATTAATTTCCAAAAATAAAAGTACTTGATTGTATTTCTCTGACATATTTACTTGCGCATTAAATATTTTTTAAAACAAAAACTGTAACTGTGAAGTAGCATTTATTCCAACAACTTTTTTTTTTCTTTCTGTTTTTATTGGTTTCATGTACTTTTCTACTGATTTGTTGATACATGAAAAAAGAAGTGATGAATTCCTTTCGTTTTACAAGTGTAAGGATTTATTCGTTCAAAAAACGTTCAAGTACCCGATCGCTCAAAATATAAGAGTTTGTTAGGTTTTTATWGGTTTTAGTAAGTTCAATAATTCATTTGGTCTGTGGTTTGTCAAAAATAACACCTCTGTCCTTGTTGTTTTGAAATTACAAGATGATCATCATGGTCTGTAAAAATGTCCAATTTTTGTCCCTTCCTCTAATAGCCATTAAAAAGAATTCTTTACAATTTGCCATTTTATCGATTTTTTTTATTTTTTACCCGACCAAAATTGATTTTATGATTTTGGTACTTGTGGTTTTTAATTGGGTAAAAGACAAAATTGATAAAAGAATGAAAATGCCACTACAAACCACGTTGATCGTTTTGCATTTCGAAATTGCAATGACGAAAAGTGTWATTTTTCACAAACCAAGTGGTCTAAATTTGTAGTTTATCTAAAGATTTATCTTATACTATATTATAAATCATTTGACAACAACTCTTAAAACCATTTTTTTATGTATAAAGTATTGTTTATTGATGCATATTACTTAAAATTTAAGATTACATGTATAGTTTATATGAAGACATCTTATTAAAGCTCCATGTTTGAATTCGTGTAATTAACTGCAGATAAACATAATCAAATACATGATAAACATCATTTTAAATATAAAAAATCTAAAATATGATTAAGATGATCATTGAGTTATAATATAATACTTAATTATTATTAAAAAAAATTATTTTAATTAAATTAAAAATAAATTAGTTCATTTTTAAACTTCAATTAAATTATAATAAAAATTAAATTATATAAAAACGAGAACTTTTAAATAGTTAATTTGATACTAATATCGTAAGGTTTACCAAATTCACTTGGAAATCCAAAAATAAAAAATCTGAAAAAAATATAAAATTTAAATTAAATAATCCAAAAATGAATTTGGTTTTGAAACAATCTTAAAATAGAGAAGTAAAATCTAAAATCTACAGAAAAATATTATATTTAACTCAAACAATTTCTAATTTTTGAATATTAAAACTTGAAATAATTTTTTTTTCTTTTATAAGCATTTAATTTCAAGTTTCTTAACAAAAAACCATAAATAAATAATATTTAAACTGTCAAACAACCGTCCACACAACATTGTAAAGTGTGGTTTAGAACTTTCATGGTGTCCTTTGCGGTTTTATTTATTTATTTATTTATAAAAGCATGCTATGTGGTGCTGTTTGTGTTTCTAGTTATCAAACTGCGGTTTAAATCGCACCAACCCGTAAAAATTCAGGCAGGGTGAAGCTCGGCAGAGGGTTCGAGAATAGGGTAGGGTCCGGTTCTTAAGATTCGATCTAATCATGATGGTAGTATTTTATGATTTTATCATGGTATTGGATCCTAAAATTTTGTATATATTTTAATTTTTTATATAACACATATACAGAATAATTTATTATTTATGTATCATTTTTGGACTTTATATTTTGAACGTTTGAGTTTGATCCAATACGACAATTAACAATATTAATAAATTAGTTGGATACGTTACATCAGCATGGTAACTGATTAATGCTTCAATTGGTTATCCGAATACTTAAATGTTTAAAACTTTACATATGATGTACCAAAATGAAAGTTTGAAAGTATGATACCTAAAATAAGAATCAAGTTAAAAGTATGTTATTTTTTATGTAATTTGTTTTTTTTTAATATAAAATGAAAGTAATCCAAAAATGAAATTGGTTCTAAAACAAGAAACACGCGTAGGTGGTCAAAAGATTCCAGCAAGGGGTATGGAGGGTGTGTGTTTGTTTCATTTGCAATTGCATTTGGTGGTGGTCAAAGCTATCGACCCACCCCACCCAGATTCTAAGTCTATATCTATATCTATATCAACACAACCAAACCCCTCTTTTTCCTCCAACCCTCCTCAACTGATCCCTAGCAATCCAATAGTTCTAACTTAGCACCACCGTATCATGGCTTGGAGTACGTTAGTCGTGTTGGTAATCGTACTAGCAGCAACTTTTACATCGACGGTCAGTGCGAATTCTGAAGGAGACGCGCTTTACGCCCTTCGCCGGAGCTTATACGATCCCGATAAAGTTCTTCAGAGCTGGGATCCCAATCTTGTTAATCCCTGCACCTGGTTTCACATCACCTGCAATCAAGATAACCACGTTACTCGCGTGTAAGCCTTTCTCCTTAACCC